TGTCTGAGATGTGAAGTTGTGACTCCCCCAAAGCTTCACTCAGAGTCACGAGCTGTCAGACAATTTCTGCCTCTGCTCTATTTTTACTCCTCATCATAAGTGCACAACCGCCTCTGTGCCCACGCAACCAGTCCCCGCTCTGAGGAGGCTGTGCCCACGCAACCAGCCCCCGCTCTGAAAATAAAGATGTAAAGTTACATAGTGCACCTTTAAGGTCAAAAACAGATAACACTTAGACATATGCACATTGTGAGAGGCATTAGTAAATGACAAAACAAGAGTAGAAATGATTAATTTATATTTTACTAAACCTTTTTACCAAAACTGTCTCTATGCCCTGTCTAAAAACAACTGTGCCCTACACATCCTGCCCCGTTGTGAGGAGTATCTGAGGAGAGGGCTCTCACAGGCATTGGGAGGGTGGCAGCCACCCCCTGAAGAGGCTAAAGAGCTGAAATAGGCTAAAGCTCTAAATGTGTGTGTGAGTGTGTAAAAAAACAAGATGTACAAGAGGTACTTGAGCAGAGTCAGTCCTCAACCTCTGACTGCAGGACGTCATCAGAAATCAGGCACAGCGAGTCAGTCAGATCATCAAGTTATCAAGTTATCAAATCATCAAATCATCAAATCATCAAATCAAAGACAAACAGTTCATCTAGGATCAGAAAGCACTTGTGTATGTGTTTCATTGGCCAGATTGATTGAAATTATATTATGGTGGGACACTGCAGGGGAAGAGGAAATTATCTTAAATTTAGAGAAATCAGTTTGAAACTTAATTGCAGTTGACTTTGTAGGAAATGTATTTTCACCATGTAATGATAATGACCAAAATGTACCATATTTGGGAAATAAAAAATATAAATAAAAATAAAAACCTATAATTGGAGCCAGGTTCAAATGTTTTTTGGACATAGTACTGGATTTTGGTTGTCTTAATTAGAATATGTGTAAATGATAACTAATATTAAAATTAATAATGAAACACTTATGTGCAGAATGTCTTTATAAAAACAATGCAATGGTTGTTCAATTCTAATACTTCCACTTAGGTTATAGGTGAAATACTTTTGGGGAGACCACCGCTCTCACCCCTAGGCCTGTCACCATAATTTCTATAATGAGCTATTGCTCATTCAATCATTTATCACTTCTATGAGTCATTATTTATGGTTTGGTTTCAATATTATTGTTAATTGTCTATATGCACTTTAGACTTTGTTTGGATTATCTTAAAATTTGTTACTGTGACAAACCCTTTCAGCCCCTCCTCCTATGAGCCTGTAGTCCCTCTCACTCCCTGTGTGTGCCCCTCTGCCCCAGGTGGACTACCGGACTGAGGATGGCACCGCTAATGCCGGCTCAGACTACGAGTTTGGAGAGGGCACGCTGCTGTTCAAGCCCGGGGAGACCCTCAAAGGTAAAGGGCATTGGTGCCAACATCTCCTGGCATATTTACCAAAAACATGTCAGTAAAGCTCACACTGTCCTGCTGCTCAAGGCCATTGTGGAGCACACAACTAAACTATGACTCTTGGTGGGCCCTGACCAACAACAGCTGCTCAGGTTTATTCTCACCACCAGCTGGAATGCTGTTTTAATCTTTGGTCTAAACACATTTATAGTTTTCATCAAGATTTAGTTAAAGACGGGGTATTATACTGGGGTATCAACTGCTAATAGATAATTTATTGGGAGAGATCTGAAAATTGCTGCAGCATGCATGGATGACATCTAAAACCCCATTAGGCATGTTTTTAATGAGGGAACAATGTTATAACAATAACAATAACACTGACTTTGCACAATAAACCCTCTACAATTTTATACTTACTTTTTTAAACAAAATAGCATGGTTATATAGTCCAGTGCTTCCCAACCAGGGGTTTGGGGACCCTATAGAATGTTCTTTATAGTGCATTTTACATCCTTAATAAATTTTTTGCTAGGGTACTTTTTCTTCAAAAAGTATTTATGATGCCATAATACTGGAATTCCAAACTCAATTTTGATACTCAGTACTTATTTCAATACCACAATTATTAGTGTTGATACGTTTTATACTTGACACTTGTTCAAATGAGTATCTAGCTTTGATACTGATTTTAGTATCGATAAGTTTCTGATTTTCGATACTTGAATAACTCTACCACATACTAGTGACTACTGGTTTTATAATGACTAAACCACCTTTACACAATATAATGTGTGTGTGAGGCACACATGACAGGGCCTGGTTTGTGATGGAAGATAAATCATTGAGGGCTTGATTCTAGTCTCTAATTGTCCGCTCTGATAATTTTTCGTAGTTATTAGTTGACAAAAATATCAAACCAAAACCAATTTATACTTTTTAAAAAACTAAAATATCCCATGCTAATAAAATGTCTGTTGTGTGTACTGACAGAGATCACTGTGGGGGTGATTGATGACGACATCTTTGAAGAGGATGAGTACTTCTATGTCCACCTGAGTAACCCACGTGTGGTTGGCTACCCTGAGATAGGCACCGCCCCCCTGGACCCCAGTGCCACGCCCAAAGCTGTCCTGGGCAAAAACCCCACGGCCACAGTGACCATCTATGATGATGACCACGCAGGTACAGTTAATCTTTTAAAGAACCATTCAACCACCGGGGCACGTTCAAGCAGTTCAAACAAAATGTGAAAAACAACCAGTTCATTTGAAACAGTTTACAGTGGTCCAAAACTTACCTTATGCATTCTGAGCATACAAGCTCTTATATACTCCACAAGGAGTATATAAGAGCTTTTCACAAGAGTTTCCCATGACGGTAAAGTGAACAACAAATAGCATGCTAATACACACTTCCTAATTAGTGATATAAACATTTTTTTTTTAGTTTTGGTTCCTCTTTATGTGACAATATTGAGTATTTGAACATTAGTGTTTTTTGCCGCTCCTTCAGATCACGGTCCGATCTTGCCCCCAATCTTATCACTAGTGCAAGTGTGGGGCGTGGAGCTCTACACATCTGTATCTGTACAAAAGCTGCTTAATCAGTGTGTTTTCTTACTCTGTGTGCTCTCCTAATGTTGCAATGTCGATTTTCTCACATTCTCACGGCTGGACTCTGCACACACATTCACTGTCAACTCGGGGCTGTGACAGCGGGGCAGACGCATGTATCATATCTGTGAGCAAAGTGGTAACATCAGAAACATTTATATGACAATATAATCCATAATTCACGAGACATCCACCTGTGTGGGACCAAATGCAGTGGACCTGAGAGATGAGAATGTGAGCGGTCAGCGGTAACAGCAGTGGAGACTTGTACCTCAGGTGAGTCCATGGGAGTGGACTGCGGGACAGACGGGAGTGGGTATGAGAAAGCAGTGGGTCTGCTGTGGGATGGGAGCGCATGAGACAGACACTGGTCTTAAACAAATGCAGATAAAACTATAAAAGGTTGATGTGTGCACACGTGCACCGGCTTACAGCAGTGTGCGTGCATGAGAGGGGTGCACGTGCGCGTGGAGTGTTCGTAACACAAACCCAGTCAGTTGTGTCATGGTCCATACAAAGTTCTATATTCCTGGTGCCTCTGCTGGTGTGTATTTGCATCGTGGGGCTCCGGAGCTGTTTTACTGTCATATATAACTTTTTCCCATACTCCTCTGTGCTGCCTGTAATGAGGCAAAGATTGCAAATATTACCCTTACTGGCAGTGCTTTTAAATGCCACAGTGGCCACAGATTGGTTCAGATGCTGTCACCACATATGTACTTGTACCGTCCCTCTCCAGCCTCCAGCAGCGAAGTACAGCCTCACCTGGATACGCCCCTCCTTAGCGCCAGCACTAATACTAAGATTTGGGGCAAGATTGGACCCATAGTGTTTATTTAGTGAGGCTGTTTCCATTATGCAGCCAAGGAACTGTCTGTATGTTTATTTTGCTCCTCAGAGGTGCAGGCCTGATGCCCCTTGTTTCTCAATAATTAAACATAAAAAAATCATAGCATCTTTGGTCCGAAGGTATTTTAACAATAATGCATCAGTTTTATACAGCGCTTTTCTGGACACTCAAAGACACTTTACAGAGCATTATTCATCCGCTTCACACTCGGTGGTGGTAAACTACTATTGTAGCTACAGCTGCTCTGGGGCAGACTGATGGAGCAAGGCTGCCAACCTGCACCATCGGCCCCTCTGACCACCACCATCACTCATGCACACACCACTTTCATACTAGGCAATGTGGGTGTGCCTTGCCTAAGGACACAATGACGGCACCTGATTTTCCCAGTGTCTCCCATCCAAATCCTAACCAGGCCCATCCTTGCTGAGCTTCTGAGATCTAATGGTATCAGGCTTTGACAAGCTTGTATGGCAAGTTATGTCTTCCAAAGCCATTGTCTGCCAAGTTGTCTCAAAGCAGTTTAAAAAGACTGAATAATGCATGTTAGGCCCTTTAACTCTCTGCTGGTGTGTGATTGTAATCAGTCTAATAATAATGTAGAAAAGGTTATTGTTAAAAGGTTATTGTTAAAAGGTTCTGATTTGAGTTCAGTCATTGAGTCATGTAGCACAAGAGTCTCCAGAGAGAAGAGTGAGACTGCCCCCCACCTGGTCTGTTGTGATCGATAATATTTGCTGATATCAATGTTAAAGGGGCCATAGTATGCTATTTTCTGATCTATTTTCTGTGTTTCCTCATCACACACATACCTGGAGTTGTGTTGTGTTCACATACAGATGTTTACACTAAAAGTTCTCCCCTGTATTTTTTAGTTATTTTTTCCATTTTGAATGAACTGCAATTACCGATATGTAAAAGGATGTTAAAATTCAGTCCATATCTATTGCAGGAATCTTCACTTTTGAGGGGGCCAGTCAGCGGGTGAGCGAGAGCGTGGGGGTGATGGAGGTGAAGGTGCTGCGTACATCCGGGGCCCGGGGTCTGGTGGCCGTCCCCTACAGGACGCTGGACGGTACTGCCAAAGGAGGAGAGGACTATGAGCTGGCAGCAGGGAAGCTGGAGTTCCAAAATGATGAGACCATGTGAGTAGACTGTACCCTTCTCAACCTGATCACCAGCGGCAACCAGGGTTAATGCAAAAATATAGTGAGAATAGTGAGAATGTCTCTTGGTTCCCATTCACATTCAGCTTCTTGGCCTGCATGACTGAGACTGGAGTGGTGTAAATGGTTCTCTGAAAGATGAGTCAAACCTTATAGACCCTTTCTACAGTGAGTTGTTGAGTTGTATCCCATTTATTTTAATGGCACAGTGAAATAAAAACACAGTTTTGTGATTTGTGGGTTGTGTATGCAGATGGTTGTCATTTATGTTTATTATATTTGCCAATGAGTAATTACATTCTGTTTCTCTGCTTCATTTTCTTAAAGAGGGGGATTTTACATGTCTATGACGTATTTACTGTAACACATAATATATTTAGATCACCATGTTACCTTTTATTGTTTTGAAAATGCTATTTTGGCCAAAGACAACATATTAACTTGTTTAATAAGTTGCAGTGTACTTTTTGATTATCTGAGTCTTCTCCTTCCTTTGCTCTCTGTGCTAAGATTTACAACTGTTGTGCATTTCTTTACTACTACTACTACTTGTAACTACTACACATTGCATCAGGTTTGTAAAGTTGCAGTTTATTGTTTTGTAACATCCTTTTGTATACCTATGGAAAATTGCCAATCAATCTGAGATGGCTCTCTCTGAAAGCCATCAGAAAAAGTGGAACATCATGATGATTATTTCAATCTGATTGGTCGAAGTGTCAAAACAGCAAAACAGGCTGAAAAATCAGACATCTTCCCTTGACCTAAAGGGCACAAAGCATGTTCTTCTGTGAAAATAGGCTTCTAAAATAGGCCGAAGTACATCTGTCGGTTCATTTGGTCTTCGGCATAAACCTCAGTGCTGCGACGTGATTGGTCGCCCACCACATGTCAAGCCCTATGGCACCAGCGGGGGCCAAAATGGATTCTCATAAGTTTGTGAACTCACAAATATCATGAGAATCCATCTTGCTGTTCAAGTTTCTGTAGGGTGAGCTTTGGAGGAGGGTCTGAGTCGATCCTGGGATAGATCACTCCATTACTCAAACATGCATGGATAAAAACTTTTTAGGCATGTTTTGATGAGGGAATGTTATAGCATTGTAGAAGACTCTATTTTGTTTAATATAATATGAGGCATGATAATTATGTGGTAATTTTTAATCAATCAATCAATCAATCAATCAAACTTTATTTATAAAGTGCTTTTCATACAAAAACGTAACACAAAGTGCTTTACAGTGATTAAAAACAATCCCACATTTCCATCCACCCACCCACTTACCCAACCCCACACCTGCCTGACTCCACACAACCAAACAACCCAGACACGCACACCCACTCGCACACGCACGCGCACACACACACGCGCACACATCAGAGGAGCCGTGTACATCAGGAGCAGAGAGTCGTCCACCACCACCAGGAACCACCACAGGGTCCAGGGGAGAGATGAAGCCCAAGCACCAACCCTCCACCAGGAGCCCACGGGACAGAACCCGACAGCCACAGCCGATCTCGGCTCCTGATGCAGAGGCTCCTACAGAGGAAACACTGGAAATCCTAAAAAAAATGCCCAAAATAAATAAATATACTAAAATGTGTACAATAGAAACAGGTAAAAGTATAAGAATTTAATCAAAAGCTAAGCTAAAATGGTGGGTCTTGAGTCTGCTCTTAAAAACATGAACGTTCTCTGCAGCCCTGAGGTCCTCCGGCAGGCAGTTCCATAGACGGGGGCCATAATACTGAAAAGACGCCTCCTCTCCGTGAGTGTGTGTCCTGACTTTGGGAATGAGCAGGAGCCTGCTGCCGGAGGAGCGCAGGGTCCGCGAAGGTTCGTAGGGTAAAAGCAGTTCTGAAAGATAAGAAGGCCCAAGACCATTAAGACATTTAAAAACCAGTAAAAGAACTTTAAAATCGATCCTGAAACTCACAGTTTTTATTACAGTAGTCTATTCGACTGGTGATAAAAGCATGCATCAGTGTCTCTGTGTTGGCCCTAGAGAGAATGGGGTGGACTCTGGCTATGTTTTTCAGGTGATAAAAAACAATTTTTGTGATGTTCTTAATGTGTGGTATAAAAGTCAGCTCAGAGTCAAAAATTATGCCCAGGTTTTTCACTTGAGGAGATGGTTAAAAGACTGTGCTTGTAGTTTGGGTAAAAGTTTCTCTCTCTGGGCCTCAGGATCAATGACTAAAACCTCAGTTTTGTCCTGGTTAAGCTGGAAAAAGTTTTCTGCCATTCAGGATTTGATTTCTAGAATGCAGTTAAAAAGAGCATCCATTGGTCTGGTGTCATCAGGAGACATGGAGATGTAAAGCTGCGTATCATCTGCAGAGCTGTGGAAGTTGATTCCATGTCTCCTGATGACACCACCAAGAGGAGCATGTACAAGTTAAAAAGCACAGGGCCTAAAATGGAGCCCTGGGGCACACCACATGTGATTTCATGGACCCTGGAGGAGCATGTGTCTACACTCACCATAAATGTTCTATCTGTGAGGTAGGATGTGAACCATCTGTGAACAGCACCGGAGAGGCCGAGGTCTTTTAGGCGAGTTAAAAGAATAGTGTGGTCTACTGTGTCAAAGGCAGCGCTCAGATCCAGTAGAACCAACACGGTTACCTTTTGTGAATCATAATTTATTCTAAAATCATTTAAAATCTTTGCCAAGGCGGTCTCCGTGTTGTGGTTCACCCTAAAACCAGACTGAAATTTTTTGAAGATGTTATGATCATCTAAACAATTATTTAGCTGGATAAAAACAAGTTTTTCTAAAATTTTGCTTAAAAATGGTAGGTTAGTCACTGGTCGGTAGTTGTTAAAATCCTTAAAATCTAAATTGCTTCTTCAGCAGGGGCCTCACCACTGCTTTACTGTAATTTCTATGTCAATAAACTACACAATTAGTGCTACACACTAATGTTTTCTAACAAGGTTTGTTTGGAGGCTGACACTAACTCTTCTAGGAAAAATGCATTGGTAGCAAGCCTTCTGTTTAAACACTGGAAGGATCTATAGAGTCATTTTGTTCATAATAATCTGCCTATGGAGAGACATAGTCAAATAGAGCTTAAGATGTCTCTGTAGTGTAGGCAGGTGTTAATCGTCCTCATTATTCAGCCTTGTACACAGCTCTTGTAAAGCTCTGCCAGTGTCTCTGGGACTGTCTTGACTCATTCACGACACACTGTTTGAGGTTAAGTGAAGGTTTAACATGAGCACGAGGGGGAGGGGGAGGGCAGTGAGAGACTCTTGAGTCCCTGATAAGGATGCTCTGCACAGTCACACACACTCACACACATACACACACACACACACAGAGAGAGCCATACTCCGGGCCATGCATTTTTAATCAGCTGATGTTAGCGCTGTTAAATGGACCAGAGCATAAAGTGGTTGGGAGTGATGCTGTTTCCTCTCTGCTTCCTAAGTTGCACAAGGCTGCTTTGCTGTGTTTGTTTGGCTCATTAAAAAAAAAAAAAAAAAAAAAAAAAAAAAGATTATTTTTATTCTTCCTGCACATATGCTCCAAACAAAGTCTTCAAACAACTGAAAACAACTATCCTTATCAGGCCATTGCTGTGACTCGAGCGGTAAGGCTCAATGCACTGTACATTGTGCCTTCCAGATTATTGGTGCTGTCAACACAAAACAGAAACTTTAGTGGTCCTGCTCTTTATACCTGAAGTCCACATGTCTGTGTTTCCACTAAATGGAAGAAAATCAAACCAAAAATCGAGAATGACCGATATGGGGGGATATTAAAGTGTCTTATTCTCTGTGTGCCCGTGTGTCATTCCCAGCTTGTCCTCAGTGCATCAAATGTGTTTTTTTAACAGAAAAATGGAAATAAAAGAGGGTTATGGCTTTATGTTTATACAAAGTTATTTCATATTCCACATAAATACTATTTATTATTTATACAGAAAATAATTTGTGATCAAAAAAAAAAAAAACGTAAGATAAATTTGTGGTTTTGCTAAAAGCAAAATATTACATCTGCAAATATTGGTTATAGCAGCAGGCCAAATATTGGATATCGACTCAAAAAATCCATATCTGCCCATCCCTGTTCTTCATTCTGTGTCTTCATTCTGTGAGTTTCCCTGGAGATTTCTTATCATCATCAAGACCTCCATGTGAGTACAGCAAAGCTTTTAGACTGAACACACACGCTCTCATACTGTGTACTTGTACTGATAAGGAGCCTGCTGCTACTGTACACTGTTACTGAGTGTCAGGGCGAGGCTACACGGCAGCACAGCATCAGTCCCACTGTGAGAGGGCACCCTTGGGTGAGGGAGAGACTTTGACAGAGCACCTAAGGGCCGATGGGGGTTGTTGACACATGGGTGAAGAAGAGGTGGGAGATATATAGAGGAACATTACTATTGTTGTTTTGAGATGTGCAAAGTTTGAACATTTGTGAGTAATTTCAGTTCATGTTTTGTAACAATACTTGAATCTGAGCTTTTACTGGTACCTTTCTGATTAATGCCATAATGTTGTCTGACTATTGTTATGGTTATAGTCCTTCAGGTGATTAATCAGTCGATTAATAATTTTATTTTGATGATAAAGGTTTATATGGGACACAAGCAAACAAGTTTATGTGAATTAGCTGAAGATGTATTATTTTTGGATACTTGAAAAAAGGCAGATTAAACTTAATCTGTCTTTATAAAAACACATATATTCCTAGTGCTTTCGTAAATGTTGTTTTTGCGGAAGCTCCCATGCAGGTGTACTCCTGTAAGTGCTGTTTGGGTTAGATACACTTTTGTCACTAGGGATTTAATAATAACCGAGATACTGTATCATCAAAAGTCTTACAGTTATCACAAGTTTCTTTACATAAATGAATAGTTATGTATCAGAAATAGCTAAAAGAAAAGAAAGGGAATTACATTGACCATGATCCTTTGCTCTTGTTTCAGTACAGATTGCATGAAGACATAATTGTTATAGACAC